TCAGCTTCGCATTTATTGATGTGACTGGTAATTTACAGTACGAGGCAAGAATGAACTGGAATTGGTGGGAAAATTATTAAACCTATTAAAAGTCAACAGCGGAGCTCCCACTGTCTTCAGCAGGGATAGAATTTCATTCTGCTTGTGCTGGTTGCATTAGATTTGTAGGGCTTTTTGCTTCTTTTCAGCAGCACAGAATGAAGAGTGGCTGCACAGTTCACAGACAAATTAAAAAATACAGCAAATGCAATAGAAGTGTTGAAAAGACTCCTGAAACAAGCATTAAGGGTGCCTTATTTGAAACACAAAGGAAAATTCCCTGCTTAGAAAGATGAACTGCATTTCTAGTCCCTACAGAAAGATTTGGGGAAATACAAAAATCTAGCTCATATACTGAGATTGGGAACACCGAGCAACTGTGTGGTGTTTTTCTCTTCTGAAATCTCAATGCTAAAGCTTTCTTCTCTTTGCCTCCGCAGTTTTCTTAAACACAAAAGTCAGTCCAGCATGCAGTTGTTTTAAAGCATGATTTTGCTATGTTGTCCCTCCTTAAAATCCTCAGGCTGTCCTTATGTAAAGTATAGGATCATGATGGGCAGAAATTGTTTGCAGATGGTAAGAAGATGACAATACAAAATGGTTTCACAGGCCACATAATAATGGAAACTAACCATATTGTATGTGGCTTCTCAGCATTCAGCCAGCTTTTTTTAAAGGAAGGGAACAGGCTGTTGTCCAATTAATTTCAATTTTAGCTTCTGCGCCCTATATCCACTAATTCTGAAAACATACATTTACTTAAACGACAACAGAAAATCTCTTTTCTGCTAAATCTAGATTCAGTAAAACCTCTTAAAACACAAAACTGCAGAGCACATCCCTGCAGTTCCAGAAGGACTATTGGTGACACTGTAGTGGGAAAGGAATTAATCCCCTGAAACCTGAAATTAGGCCAGAGAGCACCCCTTTGAGCTTTAAACCACAAATGGAAGGTGTAAGAACAATCCTCACAAGTTCCAGTTCTTCATAGGCTCCAAGTTATGCCTATGAAATGCTGCGGATTGTTGTTGTTAAATGGTGGCCGGAGGAACACGAGGACTCGTGGTGCTTTAAAATCTCTACCTTTGGTGCAGACAACCTGTGAAATACATGGCTCACAGGTCACTTTCCAGGGAAGTTTTGAGACACTTTGCCTAAAGCCACAGCTCCCAAGTTTGTGTGACTATGACTAGAAAGATCTGCATCTGCTGGCTCACAACCTCAAGATTTAGTTCGTATCTCCTAACCCATCCATGATTTTTTTCTATTTGTTCATATCTATTTATTTTTGCTCGTATGTTTCTTCATGTTAGCAACGTGTTTTTGAGTATTTTTCCCTTCTCCCTGTTC